CAGTAGGGGGCTCTGTTACTACATCTGAATATTGGCATGTAGACGTGATCAGGACGGGACTCTTATCAAACGTGAAGTTCCGTTGAGATTGGACCATATACACTGAAGTTATGACAACTTCACTCGTAGATTTTTTTACTCCTGTGGATATAGAGGCTCTGAAATGTACTCAAGTAGTATACAACTAAAAGTACTTTCTTGGTTTCTCTTTATAACATTTCTACTGTTTCTGTGCACGGCTCACTGGAACTTCAAATAGGGTAGAGTCTCCCTCTCCTGCCTGTTTCATGTTTTCATCTTTTTATCAATACGTTTTCTGAAACAATAAACAATTTGTACAACTTCACATTTCTCTTATCTTTATTGTCATACAATCACACAAAGATACAAATTCTTAAACTGTACAACAAAATAAATATATTTCTTTAGCCACAGCACAGACTTAAAGAGCACCAACTCATAAAGACAGAAATTGACAAAGTATACTTTTGATAAGAATCTGTATTACATTGAATCAGTCCAATGAATTAATTACCTTAATTATATAGCCTTTGCTTAAATAAATAAACTTAGGATTGCTTTGTTACTGCAGCATTCAATAGCTTCAAAAGGAACTATAATAAACAGCTGATTTAAATCTAAAATGGCCAATATCACAAATATGGAATCCACCCAGATGATGTCTCTGCAACATTTGCTGTGAATGGGGGTGAGCTGTATTGTAGATTTCTCCTTTAGTTTCCTGTAAACTCCACTGCATAATTGGTGGAAGTGCAGGACTGAATTCACACTCTCCCCTGTAATCACAAAAATAACATTTTAAAGATGTATAGGCATAAAGAGACACATATTGCAGCTGGTGACCAATGTGCAGTTTTCTGATTTCAGATCTGTTGTACTATGGTGTATGCTTGATTTCTGTCATTACTGTGTTGATGTTATCTTGAATTATTTCATACATTTCTGAAATGAACCCAAGTCAAACATCATTTTTGGAACTGTCAGGCTAACCCTCTATAATGCTGATTTCCCCTAAAATGACTTGACAGCAGTTTTAGGTGCTGCTATGCTGAAGAGTAAATAAGATTTTATTTGAAAATGAGCTCATTGACCCCTAGTATTATCATTACACACATACATATCAAAAACCATCTAAGGTTAATGCTCAAATGGAATTATAGTTTTAAAAAACTTTGTCATCTTACAGTAGTAGTAGTACTAAAGTAGTAGTAGACACCACATATCACAAAAAAGTATGAAAAAGTCACTATAATACACAAAATGACATTTGTGCTTGCAGTAAATACTGGTACATGATATATAGATTTTGATAGATTTGTGAACAATATTTGAGAGAAATAGGCCTTTTGTGTACATAGAGAAAGTCTTAGCCTTCATATCTTAAAGAGCTCATAGTACCCTATTACCCCACTAGAACACTACGTTCTCTGAATGCTGGGCTACTTGTGGTTCCTATAGTCTCTAAAAGTAGAACAGGAGCCAGAGCCTTCAGTTACCAAGCTCCTCTCCTGTGGAACCAGCTTCCAGTTGTGGTTCGGGAGGCAGACACCCTCACCACATTCAAGAGTAGGCTTAAGACATTCCTCTTTGATAAAGCTTATAGTTAGGGCTGGATCAGGTGAGTCCTGAACCATCCCTTAGTTATGCTCCTATAGGCCTAGACTATCAGGGATTTCCCATGAGGCACTGAGCTCCTCTCTTCCTCTCTCTTTCTGCACTCATTCATGTCCCATTAATGCATGTTACTAACTTCACTTCTTCTCCGGAGTTCTTGTGCTTTCTCGTCTTGCAGGTTCTCATGGATCCTGGTGGAGCCTCCTGCCATGGTCCTGCTTGACTACAATTGCCAATATCCCTGATATTATTGTTATTATTATTATAAGTATTATTATAGCTACGGTTACTGTTGTTGCTGTTGTCACTGCTCATTGTCCCCCATCGTTGCTGTTGTCATGTTCATCATCATCAGTTACTGCTATTAGTGTAGTTGTTGCTACTGTTGTTGCTGTGCACCTGTCTGTCTGTCTGTCTATCTGTCTGTCTGTCTCTCTCTCTCTCTCTCTCTTTCACCCCAACTGGTCGAGACAGACGACCACCCACCTCGAGCCGAAGGATCTGTCCTAGGTTTCTGCCTTGTAACAGGCAGTTTTTCCTTGCCCTTGTCGCCAAGTGTTTGCTCATGGTGGTAGTGTTGGGTCTCTGTAATTAATGTTATAAGGAGTTCGGTCTAGACCTGCTCTATTTGGAAAATGTCCTGAGATAACTTCTGTTGTGAATTGGTGCTATACAAATAAAATTGAATTGAATTGAAATTGAGCATAGCGTTAGTTCAGGCAGGGCACGAAGTCAGGCTTAGCTTTCAGTTACAGCTATATCATACGATCATAGCTAGTCATAAACATACATCAGCTGATTCCTCTAAACTTCCCATTGGATACCATACACAGTCAGCTGACAGCTCACCTGATTTCCTCAAGCATCCAATTGGCAAACATCTACATGGCGCCTTATTTAAGCTGCTTTAGCCTGCCTGCCTATCTCTGCTGCTCCTCTACAAGCCTTTTTGCACCCACCTTCACCCCAGCTCCTCCTTTTTATGTTGTTTCTAATTAATCAATGTCATTTTCTGATTGACATTGATGCTTGCTCTGTTCTGTACCCTGGGGGGTCTCTGCTGCCGCTCTCCTTGTCTTAAACTTTTCCATGTATGCACATGGAAGGGCAGGGAGGTGTGCTCTCCCTGCCTTAAGGTTTTCCAAGTAGGCACGTGGAAGGACAGGGAGGTCCCAGAACAGAGCCATACCGCCAAATGTAAAATTCTGCTTGGAATATAAGATATTTTGACAAAAGTGGTCCTGACTGAATTGAAATTAGATCTTTGATCAGCTCATGATGAATGGGGGCAAAAACAAAAGTGTTGCGTTTATAAATTTGTTCAGTGTACTTCTAAGAGCTGGCTCCAAACAGGTTTCAGTGAGGAACAGGGATAACAGAGGTAAACTCACTAAGGGCCCTATCTTGCCGCACGCAAGTATCAAACGCAAAACGCAAGTAGCTTTGTGGGCGGATCTCGGCGCTGTTGCTATTATGCCGGCAGGATAAATGACTCTTGCGCCCGGCGCAAATCTAAAATGGGTTGGTCTGAAGTAGCTACATTAGTCATAAGTGTGGTTTGGGCGTAACGTGCAATAAACCAATCAGATCGTCATCTCCCATTCCCTTTAAAAGCAGGCGCGCTTGTTCCATGGCGGATTGCTATTATAACGGTGGATTTGCCAGGCGCACGCCAGGAGCGGTTCACAGCCGAGGAGACCGACGTTCTCGTCAGGGCCGTAAAATACCAAGAAGTGACATTATGGACATGAAATAAATGTAACACAGCCATACAATAAATCAAAATGATGTAACGCAGCTTCGCAGGAAGAAGCCCCTGGCCTCGGGAGCAGTGCGCACGGGCCGAGCAGTGCGCAAGGGCCAGCTGAGGAGGGAGCAGCTCAAACACCAAGGTGCAGAGGATCCAGACCCACTACACGCCGGAGGACCACCCGTTCCTGCAGCAAACCGGGTTTGACATGCTGGAGCAGGAGCTGTCCGGGATGCGGCAAAGTATTAATGCCCGTCTTGACCGGGTGGCGATGTTGCCTGTAGCAATAGAAAACTAGAAGAACTACTAGAAAACACAGTGAACTGAAAGAGTTAGAGTTTTATTAAAAATACTTGTGTCCCCCCCACCTCTGAAATCAAAATTTCGTCCTTGCCGTGGATACTCTCTCCCCTGAAGAACAGACCGAGGTGACCAGCTTCCCTTTTCCCCCATTCTCAATGTTGACAGTCTGGATTATGGATAATATGGTTCTATCAAGGTAAATACTCAATGTCTTCACAATCAAATCCCGACATTGATCCTGTAGTTCAGAAGAAGGTCCAGAGGATCAGAGAGAATCTGGACTGGAACAGAGAAAAGCTATCATTCTCTGATCCTGATACTAACACAAGCTGAATGGATCCAAGTGAAGAAAAACAAAAACCAATAACTGCATGTTTGAGCAGCCAATAATTGTTTAGATTCAATGGACGTAATTTTAAATTCTGAAAACTTCCCACGGAAGAAAATCAATATTTAATTACATATAGGAAAGATTTACATTGTGTAAATATGTTTAAATGTATTCAAAATATCTGAGCAATTTTGTATTTTAATGTAATTAAGTTGAGATGGTTTGTCATTTATTCACAGGAATCGTTAAGGTGGATGTCTGATATTTAATGTGAAGTTTCAGTTTGGGTTCAGACTTTATGGTTTAGAGTAGAGTTCTGTGGCTTCTTGACCTCTGTGACTCTCTGTTGACAAATCAATTTATTCATTATCTGGATTTTATGCAGTCTTTTGTGTGTGCAAATAATACATAAATAAAGAAATTATATTGATTTAAGAACTGGATCTTTCTGTGGTGTTAAAACAACAAAAGGCAAAACAAGATAGTAAATTATCAGAATAATCTTATGATCTAACTAGAACATCGAAATCTAACTTAAACAACCAAAAGATATTAGTCAGATACACGTAGATTTTACTAAACTTTTATTGAATAAAATATTTGTTTTTACCTCTCTAATATCATATATATTCTTGCACCTTGTACGCTTTTATCAGCTACGTTTTATCTTTGTGTAACTTTTTGTTTTAATAAGTTGATGAAGTTATCATTGATATCTAAGTAGTGGTAGATCAGATGATAGCAGTGGTGCCATTATTATGTTTTTCATTTTCATTTTAAATTATTTAAGATAAAGTAAAAAATAACAGTGAAAATTAATTTGCACTAAAGTTTTTCCATGAAAGTCATGTTGACATAATGGCGTGATTTAAAGCTGTGTTTTGGATCATATTCATCATATTTCTTATGTCCCCTTTAAACTGAAACACATTGATGGACTAACAAAGATCCACCCCTTACATGACATCATCTGAGATCAACCAGGAAACAGGTTGTTCCTGTTCAGTTCACACTGTGAGGAGACACAGAGACTGACAGAAAGAAGGTAAGATTTAGCTTACCTTCATTACAAAGCTGTCATATCAACTGAGGGAGGAAAGTTACAGGAGGGAAGTTCTAAAGTACTGAAGCAGGGAAGTACTTCAAATGGCTGCTGATTGAAAAACACTCAAAGTGAAAGTAACTGAGGAAACTGTCTACAGAGGGGAGGGAAACCACAACTGAGTTCCTGTTTTAACATGCTGCCTGTTATGTTTTCAGCTTCACTCAGAAATAAAATGGCTTCCAGATCAGAGGAGGAGCTCTGCTGTCCGGTCTGTCATGACATCTTTAGAGATCCTGTTGTTCTGTCATGTAGTCACAGCTACTGTAAAGACTGTCTCAAGAGCTGGTGGAGAGAGAAAATAACACGTGAGTGTCCAGTTTGTAAGAGAAGGTCTTCAAGGGCAGAACCACCTTGTAACCTGGTGTTAAAGAACCTGTGCGAGGCCTTCGTACAGGAGAGAGATCAGAGATCTTCAGAGGGTCTCTGCAGTCTGCACTCTGAGAAACTCAAACTCTTCTGTCTGGACCATCAGCAGCCAGTGTGTCACATCTGCAGAGATTCAGAAAAACACTCCAAACACAGATTCAAACCCATCGATGAAGCTGCACAACAACACAAGAAGGAACTTCAGAAATCTCTGGAGCCTTTAAAGGAGAAGTTAAAGGTTTTTGAACGAGTTAAAGTGAAGTTTGATCAAACAGCAGAACACATGAAGGTCCAGGCCCAACGCACAGAGAGGTTGATTAAGGAGCAGTTTAAGAAGCTTCACCAGTTTCTAGAAGAGGAAGAGGAGGCCAGGTTGGCTGCACTGAAGGAGGAAGAGGAGCAGAAGAGTCAGATGATGAAGGAGAAGACGGAGGCTCTGAGCAGAGAGATAGCAGCTCTTTCAGACACAGTCAGAGCCACAGAGGAGGAGCTGAGAGCTGAAGACGTCTCATTTCTGAACAACTACAAGGCTGCAGTGGAAAGAGTCCAGCAGCGCCCCCTGCTGGAGGATCCACAGCTGCCCTCAGGAGCTCTGATAGACGAGGCCAAACACCTGGGCAACCTGACCTTCAACATCTGGAACAGGATGAAGGACATGGTCTCCTACACTCCTGTGATTCTGGACCCAAACACTGCTCATCCAAACCTCATCTTGTCTGAAGATCTGACCAGTGTGAGAGGAGGAGGGAATCAGCAGCTTCCTGACAATCCAGAGAGGTTTGGTTATTCCTGGTCTGTTCTGGGCTCTGAGGGCTTTAACTCAGGGACTCACAGCTGGGATGTCGAGGTTGGAGACTGTGCATACTGGAGACTGGGAGTGTTAGCAGAGTCAGCCCAGAGGAAGGGACTTATACGGTCTGGATTATGGGAAATAGATTTCTGTGGAGGTAAATACTCAGCAGAGTCACCATCAGGACACACTGTTCTCCGAGTTCAGACGAAGGTCCAGAGGATCAGAGTGAATCTGGACTGCAACAGAAGAAAGCTGTCATTCTCTGATTTTGATACTAACAGACACATGCACACCTTCACACACACTTTCACTGAGAGGATGTTTCTATACATTGAAACTGATGAAAAACTGAAGATGTTAGCAATGAAGGTAAGGACAGTGAAACAGAGCAGGTAGAGAGTTATGATTTTATTCATGATGTTTTATTCTTAAAACTATAATGTATAACATTTCCTCGTTAAACAGTTTAAACACCCTAGAGCTATGTTTTATATGTAGTTGTGTACTAACATTATTCCAAATGTTTCCAACAGAAATCTGTCATTTTATTCAAAACTGTATGTTTCCTACTTGCCTGTTGCGGTTTTACCTGCTGGGTAAATGCGGTATATGTTAGATACATCGGCGAGTGAGGAAGGAAGTCTGCAAGTGGGTATAAATGTAACACGAATACAACTTTAAAGCTTTACATTAGTATATTGTTTTTATGTGAGAGAGGCAGAAATTAAATACTGTACATTTAAAGGTGAAAGTCACTGAACTGAACCTGTTAAGCTGCACCAGCTGTCATTATTGCAAACTTATGTTTATTTTTCTTTCACTTTTTTATATAATAATTTTTAATTATTCATTATTTATTATTTTGACTTGTGTGTGTGGAGCCACGAAGACCAGTAACCGCTCTGCGGAAGCTAAATGGATACAGATAATGAAAAAATTATCATTTTATCAATGACTGAAAAATAACTGGCTGCACAAACATGCAGTCAGTTTTCTATTTGATGTATATATAGTCGAGATAATTTTGTCTGCATATGTATTTTCATTCATTTCCATCAGTTGAATGCTGCTGTTTGTCATTTATTCACAGGAGTTGATCTATTTAAGGTGGACATTTTATGTTTAAGGTGGAACTTTATGGTTTAGAGGTCCATGGCTTCTTGATCTCTCTGGACATAACAATTTTTTCATTATCTGGATTTGATGTGTACAAATAAAAAGTAAATGTTAATTTACAGAGATGTTCACAAGTCTTTTTTTGCAAGTCCAAGTCAAGTCTCAAGTCTTTGGTCACGAGTCCAAGTCAAGTCTCAAGTCTCTTAAAAATAAAAGTCACATGTCTCTTCTGGTTGTAATGAGCCTTCTGTCATCTGCTGCTATCCGGTCTACTAAGAATACTGCACAGCTATATCTAAGAAATTCAAAGCATTTACTGTATTATTATCACTCCTTTATCTATTAGCATACAGTATCAGTACTGATTAGTTGTTTGTTATATGATCACTTTAAACAGGCTATTGCAATGCAATATGAAGAAAACACACAATGAATGCTTTATTTTAAAGGAAACTGTATTCTTCCAACATGAACATATAGTTACAGTATATCTTGCCCCCTATTGTGCAGGCTCAGTGGGACCATAATAAGAACAAATATAGAAAATCTTACACCTCACCCAGTCAAAGACATTGTAATTAACATCATTCCTATTAGTGCAAAACATCACACTTTAGCTAAATGCAAACAACTTGTAAGCAAAACACTTAAAAGTACTTTAAACACTTGTATATGTTACTTCTGTGTTATTTGCAATTAAAAAATTGCTCCCATATTATCTGAAATATAGCCTACTGTAAGTCTATAAACTGTGATATTAAAACATGACCAGTTTTGTTCCAAAAGGCACCTTGTATGACAAAAATTCCTTGCATAAAAGTAAAACTCAAAATGGAATATCACTGGAGTTATTGGAAGCTATCTTGATTTTTAACAAAAGAGTAACCTCAGTGTAATGGTAACCTGGTAAACCTGTAACATTGACGTTACGTGGTCAACAATTAACCTGCAACCTGCCTGTAAGCCGACAGTATAACTATGTATTTTTCTACAGTTAACGTTAGCCAGTTGGTGGCAACGTAGATGATTAACTTTACCCAACCTTTCACTCATCTATTCAAATATTCAGTTACAAAGCAAGTAGCAAGCTAAGTGAACGTTACATAGCTGATGCTGAGCTAACTGTCCATATGTGACTGACCTATCCGGGTGAGTTTTCAGGTGCCTGATAAAATTTGATGTGGTGGATCCAGCATCCTTGATTCGGGTACTGCAGACTTTGCAGTCAGCGCTCCTTTTGTTGGTGCCGTCCTGTTTGAAGTTTTTATAACCAATCACAAATGGTACAGTAGGGGTGGGCGATATGGGCAAAAAATAATATCTTGTTATTTTTTGGGATTTTGGCAATAACGATAATCAGTCGATATCCTTTAAAATATAATTGGAATTGTCTGAGTTAGGGCTTGTGTCCACCAAACACGTTTTTAGCACTGAGAGCGCTCAAAAACTCATTTTCCGAGCGCCCAGCGGTGTTAAAAGTTGAACAGATTTCAACTTGAAGCGCTCTGATCGCTGCGCTAAAAAAGTCTTTTCGAAACTAAACCATTTCCATGCCAGAGAGGTAGACCCACGTCTCAGCACTAAATCTGACGTACCGGTAGCTTCAGGGGCTGGAGATGCTTGCATTTTCTCTCTACCATCACAACGCGCTGCTAAACTGTTGCAAGGAGGATGCTAGCGAGAGGTCATGTGATCACGTCATGTGATCACGTAGGCCCACTAGTCGTGTGACTGAATCCTGTCATGCTGTAGAGAGCGTTACTGCACCGTGTATTAAGTGGATGTGAGGAGTTTCCGCATGCGTTTCAATATTTTTGGCGAAGTAATTTAAATACTCGATAATGGAAATTTGCACATCGTCAAAACAACAATGACGATATTATCGCAAACGATATATATCGCCCACCTCTATGGTACAGCAGCAGCTGCAGGTGTGCCGCCGGTCGCCATAGTCGTCATCCGAGGTACTAGTGTGTGAGGCCGCGAGGCGTGCACCCAATGCGTAATATGGTTACCATGGTTACCATGAAAAAAAAGAAGGAATCACATTAAGCTCGCCAGACGTTTCAGAGTGTCCTCAATATTAATACACCAAAAAAGAAAACATGATTGTTCACGAGTCCCAAAACACGAGTCCGAGTCCAGTCTGAAGTCTTTTGAACACGAGTCCAAGTCAAGTCTGAAGTCTCTGTGTGTGTGCGACTTAAGTGCGACTCGAGTCCGAGTGGCAAACTCGAGTCCCCATCTCTGTTAATTTAAGAACTGAATCTCTCTGTGGTGTTTCTGCCTTCATAAAACACAAAGTTAAACCAAGCTAAATATGAACATTTTACTTTAAAAGTAACATAAAAGTAAAATTAACGTTTTTCATTGATTAGCAATTGATATTTAGCATTTAGCTTTTATCCTTTCTAATAGTGTGTCTATGTAGCTGTCGATCTTAGTTCATATAGGCTCAGCCCTGATTAGTAACTGGAGACAGCCGCACACAACTACCTGCTGCAGAGGGGAGTACCCAGTACCTGGAGGCCACAGGAGCACAGGTGAGAGACAAAGAGAGAGCAGCACAACAACTCACAGCTCTATGGCCGTAACCCCCCCCCCATCTTTCATCAAAGTTCAGCAGGATTTAACCCAAGAGACTACTGTTTTGCATCGCGAATGGCAAGGAGAACAAATGGCACAGCCTCATCCTAATTTTTTCCTGTGTGATGACAATACTTTAGAGTATGGTGCCAGCGCTCGAGCATACTTTGTGACCTGGGCCAGAAGTAGCTCAGTGTGTAGGGATTTTGCATGGGAACTGGACGGTCGCCGGTTCAAGTCCCACTGTATATACAAGGGATAGACCGATTATCTGTGCCGATATTTGGCATTTTGACGCATATCGGCATCGGCCTTTTTTTTTAATCCGACGGCCGATAAGAGATCAATTAAAAACTGGGTTATTTTGGCTCTGATGCGGCCGCGCCTCTCTGTCTGCTGTCATTACTCTGTCTCCAGCATTTTCCCACCCACAGCACCATCTGATTGGTTACACGCTCTGGTTACAAGCAGAGCCACGACATGGGTAACAGCCAATCAGCAGTGAAAGCTGTGCATGCACAGTGCTCACACACACGGCAGAGAGGAGAAAAAGTTTTGCCACCATGTAAAACTGGATTCAAAGCCCGGCACTTAAGGCAACAGACTCTCCCGAAATTGTAATAAACATCCCAGTCCTCTACAAGTCACAACTACTAGTAACATTACTGTGAGCTCATTAACGATATATAAACATAAGCGGCAGCCCTCCAGACGTGCCTGTTAATCACTCGAAACAAGGTTGCTGATAATATCGATATGGAAATAGTCCGTGATAGTACAAGTCTGTGTGTGTGAGTGAGAGAGTAAAAACCTAATAAACTCAATTCAGTCCAGTTTTATTGCAGGGAAGCACATTGAGGCTGATTAGCTTTTAGCGTAACCTTAGCCCACCGGTCCGCTTTCTCCTTCTCTGGCTCTAGACGCTCAGCAGACTGTAGCGAAACTCTACAACTCACGACTACTAACGTTACTGTGAGGCCCAATACGTTAGCGGCAGCTGTCTGTTCCCAAGATAAACACTGATTATTAAAGTGAAGATGCTGTAGGCTATTTAGTGTTTTTAACGGTTTAATCACTTGAAACAAGGTTGCTGATAATATTGTCTAAGATTTAAAAAAACCTTTAACATGTAGCAAATCTGATAAGCTGTTTAATAAACATATGCTTAAAGGCATTTAAACAAAGTTAAGTGTTGGAGTTTGTATTATTCAAAATTTTGACGCCAATATTTTCCCTTTTACTGCAAATGAATATCGGCTCCAAATATCGGTTATCGGTCTCCTTGACTACTAATAATCGGTATCGGTCCTGAAAAAACCATATCAGTCTATCTCTAGTATATACTGTAAAAATGATATTTAACATTTTTTAAGGATTCATACGTTGCAGTGATGCCCAGATGACCAGACCACAAATGCACATGTGCTAGCTGTCGCCAACTATAACTCTACCCTACCCTAGCTCTGAATGCTGGGCTACTTGTGGTTCCTATAGTCTCTAAAAGTAGAACAGGAGCCAGAGCCTTCAGTTACCAAGCTCCTCTCCTGTGGAACCAGCTTCCAGTTGTGGTTCGGGAGGCAGACACCCTCACCACATTCAAGAGTAGGCTTAAGACATTCCTCTTTGATAAAGCTTATAGTTAGGGCTGGATCAGGTGAGTCCTGAACCATCCCTTAGTTATGCTGCTATAGGCCTAGACTATCGGGGGATTTCCCATGATGCACTGAGCTCCTCTCTTCCTCTCTCTTTCTGCACTCATTCATGTTCCATTAATGCATGTTACTAACTTCACTTCTTCCCCGGAGTTCTTGTGCTTTCTCGTCTCGCAGGTTCTCATGGATCCTGGTGGAGCCTCCTGCCATGGTCCTGCTAGATTGCCATTGCCAATACTGTTGTTGCTGTGCACCTGTCTGTCTGTTTGTCTCTCTCTCTGTCTCTGTCTGTCTGTCTGTCTCTCTCTCTCTCTCTCTCTCTCACCCCAACTGGTTGAGATAGACAACCACCCACCTAGAGCCGAAGGATCTGTCCTAGGTTTCAGCCTTTTAACAGGCAGTGTTTCCTTGCCCTTGTCTCCAAGGTCTTGCTCATGGTGGTACTGTTGGGTCTCTGTAAATAATGTTATAAAGAGTTCGGTCTAGACCTGCTCTATTTGAAAAGTGTCCTGAGATAACTTCTGTTATGAATTGGCACTATACAAATAAAATTGAATTGAAAAAAATTGAATTGAACTAGATAAAAGCACCATTTGGTGAACTGTGCCTCATTTGAATGTGAAACCCACCTGCGCATATACAGGTTTATTTTTTATTCCCTTCTTAAGTTATTTAGTTGTTATTTACCCAGAGCCAAAGTGACACCTTCACAATGTTTGTTTTGTCCAACCAACAGTCCAAACCTCGAAATGATACATTCAAATTAATAAAAAATTATTATTAAATGGACATCTTCACATTAGTGAAGCTGAAACCAAGAAGTGTTTTTGATTCATTTTGATTGTTAAAATCATCACCAATTAATTCAAATTGATTGTTTG